CCCCAAAACCCCAAAACCCCAAAACCCCAACTATTAAGATTGAGTATTAATGTTTGCAATTTATTATTAATTCAAATTTGAATTTAATTTAACTTATTAAATTATGTCAAGCTAACAATCACAGCAGTTGTCAAGCAAGTAGACTAGCAAGAAATCTAAGATTCATCCAAGACCTGAGTGGGATGAAAATGAGAGTGAGGACTAGCTAGACGGCAGACTTAGATCTAAGAAATTTAGAGGCAATCCACCAAGCACAGATCTCACTACAGATGATGGCTTGATTAAACTGAGTCAGATGGATAAGCTGGATTCTAAGATAAATTCCGCAAAGTAGTCTAAATTCAAGGAGCTGAGAGAGAAGATCAACTAGGACTTCAACAGTCAACTAGATCTTAATAGAAGTGATATCATATTGTAAACACCTATACATTTAGATAAACCTTTGGAAGTCCTTGATATTGTCAATAAAGATTAAGGTAGTGTGGAATCCCATTCAAAAAGTAAAGACTCAGTAGAAAGTAGTACTAAGCAGAAGATTCCTGACAGTAAAGCTTAAAGCAATTAAGAGAACATAGTTGAGACAACACGATAGTCAAAGAGTAAGTAAAAGGAAACAGAGAATGCCAGAAAAAGAATTGTGCCGTCATAAAGCTTGTCACAATCAGAGGAAGCAAGCGATGACGAGGATGATGATGAAGACTATAATAGCGATGAGATCAAAGAAGAAGTCAATGAATTGCAGGATGATAATTTTAATTTGGAAGAATATATGAAGTTCAGATCTCAACTCGACTTGGAGGAGCAAAAAGAATAGAAACCCAAGTAGTCGCTATTTGCCAATCTATATGCAGAAGATGATGAGAGTGAGGACTACTATGATGAGGTTTCTTAAGTAGATGCTAAATCAAAAAGCAAAAGTAAAATTTTTAATAACTTATAATTTTACTTAGAGTAGCAAGATATTGAAGATGATGATGACTTCTGAATGAAGATAATTAAATTATTGAATTAGATGTAATGATAATATAAACTTGCATAATTAGTGATAAAATTAATTTTTAACTTCTAAATAATCTATATATATAAAATTATTTTTCAAAATTTAAATGGCGGTATTCGAGTTCAAAAGCATTTCATAAATCGTTTTAATAAGCTCTGATGATTGTTGTTTCTGATGGCAGGTGACTCCATAATGATAAAAGAACTTTAAGGCATCTACCCCAGCCCTTGGCTTTAGAGCAACATAGGCTTTGATTTCTACTAATGAATCTATTACTTAATATACTGGCTTGAATCTCGATGATCTCCTTGACTATCGTCCTAGAGACTAAAGCTAAACTAGTTGGTGATTAAGTTTACTTTCTGTTCTATTAGAATGTCTCTGAAGTCTACATCATAGTCATCATATTGATCTTAGCATCTGTAACCACAGCAAGTATTTGGCCTTTATTTTTCAGCTTAAGAGGGTCTGAATTTTTTGCTATATCTTACTGTTGTGTCATAAGGACTGTAGGGAGAATCATCTTCAGCATGCATGTAAATTACAGAACTCTCAGATAGATTCTCTGGGTAACTCATTCTTTTCGAATAAACAAGATCATCATCAGTTCTTTTAATGTTGGATTTCTCGCCTTCATCTGAAGAAACATTACAGGAGTCTTGAAACCTGCTAGTCTCTTGCTCTTCCTTTTCATCTTCATAGCACCCGTTGAATTCATGCTTAAGGCTTTCTAGTTTCAATTTCTGGACAAATGAGGGGTTGTTTATCAGAAATTGTTCAAAGTATTGACTGTGTTTACGTTTAATATATGATGATGATGGGGAGGTCTGCTGCATTGAATTTAGAGCACTTTGGTTTGAAGTAAGATCAGAATTCTGATTAGTATTTCGTTCAGATATCATTGTTCTAAAATCATGCTTCCTATTGACTGCATTGAGGTAATTAAGTCTACAGTACTTATCCAAAGATCTTTCCATGCTCTCTGGGTTCATCTATACTTCTTAAAGTCTACGAGAACTTATTATGCTTGAATATGATTGCTTCTAAGACTAATAGGGATTAGTCATAGCTGTGTAAGGTTTGATCATTGCCATTTATGCTTTGTTTCTCGAGTTATTGATCTAAGCATTTTTCGATCTTTAAGTAATCTTTTGCTTAAGATTTGTCAACTCAAAATTTGCTTTCGTGATCTTCTATGGCATATTTTGTCCTCTAACTTTATCAGTTGACTTATTGATATTTGTAACATTTGATAAATTAGAAAGGTTGAGAAGTATTTGAGGCATTGTATTCTTATCATTCTCATTTTGCACAACTCTGAAGTCTTGTTTACTCTGAGATTTATTATTCAAATTCTATTGCTTTCTAAGAGTGGTTGATTTTTGTAATTGGCTTTTAATTTGACTCATTTATTATATTATATTTTGAATTACTTATCCTGGTACTTATATGCTTGATGGGGTTTTGGGGTTTTGGGG